CCCCCCCAAAAAAAAAAAAGACCCTTCACACATGGCGGGGGGTGACCTGGTAGGGGGGGTGGGCCTTCGGGGGGCTTTTTTTTGCACTTTCGGGGATCGTTGAACGAGGCCCACCACCCCGTAGTCCGCGACGCGATCACGGCCCCCCAGGGGTCGCGTTCAAAAATTTTTTTCACGCCACGTGGCGCGCAGCGCGTTTGGACGCGATTGAACGCGGCCCCGAGGGGTATGAACGCGCGTGTTTGAACGTGAACGAGCGTTCAGCGCGTTCAACCGGTTGCACAGATTTTATTCCATGGATGAGGTAGTAGATCCTGTAATTACTATCAAAGTGATTGGACATCAATGGTATTAGACTTATGAGTATTCAGATTATAATACTTCTCATGACCAGTCACTTACTTTTGATAGTTGTATGATTCCAGAGGATGCAAAAAAAACAAAAATGGACAAACATATTGCAAAGGTTATCCAACCTACTAAATCTTTGAGTGAAATAGTATAACTGACGCCTTCATAAATAGATAGGTCTCCAACCTTGTGGCTGATCACTTGGTACTTTCATCGATAGGATGAGGAAAATCAAATGAACCCATCGCTACAACATTGAAATATATACTGCCACACTTATGTGTGTGCATGTGTGTGTGTTACTTTCATCGATAGGATGAGCAAAATCAAATGAATCTTCGGCTAGAACATGAAAATATACATTGACACCTAGGCTACCAGAGTGGCCCAGGATCACTTGCCCAGCCTGGCCAAAAAAATTAAAAAAAATAAAAATAAAACAATTATTTTTAAATTTTATTTTTTATTCTAAATTTGGTGAAGAATTTCGATGTGACCCTGAGGCAAAAGTTGTTGAGTTTATTTTTTTGCATAATTATTATTTTTTTTTTGCTAGGACCTTCCCTGGTCCTTGCACGGGCTGGCCACCCGGGACCCGGGTGGCCCGGCGGGTAGCCTAGACTGACACACTTTTTTTTCTTTTTTTTTTTAATGTGTGTGTATACTCAAGGGTAGTGCTGGGTAGCCTGCCTCTATGTATCTGGACGACGTAAAACCCGAATTCAAATGAGATTTAAAGCAAAAGAAATTTCAGTGGAGATCTGCGTATACGTCGGCGTAGAGGACTGTTTGGCAGGTCGTAGTTAGCGAGGAAAATAGGAAAGCAAACAAGACGTTGTGACAGACTGTTTCGTCGAAGTTTCACCTACTCATTACGAGGTTGAACATTCTTTGCTTTCTTCTCGGTCGTCTCTCCTCATCATCGTGCAATTTTATTCCTCATTTCGTGCTTCTCTTTTATCTCCTCGCCTTTCACACACCTCTTTCCCTATGCAGACCATCGAAAAAAATTCTGAAATAAACTACCATGCTCATAACTATCGATATTGAAAAGAAATTAACAGAAACTTAACGTGATATAACTGTGCATGCCAAGGTTCGAGTCAATTGCTCGGTTCGCCCGAGTGGTTAATTGCATTCAAAATCGACTATCATTATATTCTACTCTCGTCACAACGGTTTTCAAGGACTCGCCCCATTAGCCATGGACACACAGGGAGAAGAAGACACCAAACGCAGGTCATGAGAAATTGTTTCGTCAAAGGTTCACTGACTCATCAGGAGGCTAAAATGTCGTCTTCTTCCCAACACTTCTCTCTCTTTCTTTTCCTTTCTCACTTACCACTAACCTTTTTTTTTTTTTACACTCAGTTTTTTTTTTTTTTTTTTAATCTTTAATTGAACTAAGTTCTAACGTATGGTTCGGAAGCCGAGCCATATCAGCAATGAGATGGTTTAGGTTAACAATCGTTTTTTTGGTCTTCATTACTTACTTCCTTTTATAATTGCAGGTGCTAGTATTCTTCATATTGCTGCTTTACATCAATATGGTTCCAATAATCCATTGGGCATAAACTCTTCTGTAGATAAAATAGCTTTTTATCCCTATTCTCTCAACAGCGCTCCTTCTGATAGTGTCCATGAGGATGAAGTCCTTCAGTGCTAGCAGCACGATCCTTCTTATAGCGGTCCGCCAACTGGGACTATCCCATAGCCCGGGA